ACATCAGATATGGTCGAACGCCTCTTTCGTGGGCTGCTGAGAACGCGCGCCAGGGTATAGTAAAGCTACTCTTGGAAAATGAAGAGGTCAATCCAAACGTTGCAGATATTATGTATGGCCAAACGCCACTGTCGTTGGCTGCCAGTAAGGGGCATAGCGATATAGTAAGGTTGCTCCTGGAAAGGGGAAAGGCCAATCCTGAGATAGCTGACAGGCTGCTCGGCCAGACAGCACTCGCGCTAGCCGCTGAGAAGGGGGAAGAGGGTGTGGTGAGGGTTCTCCTGGAGTTTGGTGCCAACCCCAATGCAAATTGCAAGAACGGCCAAACACCAGTCTCCCATGCCGCCCGAAATGGGTATGAGAACGTAGTGAAGGCGTTCCTAGGACGCAAAGATGTCAATCTCAACACGGCAGACAAGTACTTTGGCCTTACGCCAATCACCTGGGCTTCCTCCGGCGGGCACAAGGAAATAGTGAGGCTACTCGTGGAGCAGGGGGGCGTAGACCCAGAAGTACCAGATGCCCGTCATCAAACTCCACTTATGTGGGCTACCGAGCGAAGGCATGAAGGTGTGATAGCGCTATTTTCGGAATGGAAAAAGGCCAATCATGTCGGGCCAGTTGATAGCGATGACCCAACACTCCTTCCATTAGATCAGAATTTGCAGGAAGGGGGAGCCGCTGCCAGAACGACAGGGTGTTGAAACATACACGGCAGACGACACCGATCGAAGAGACCTTCTCGAACGACTTCAGAGGTGTCTGATAGGGGGTAGGCAATACCACTATCATACGTTGTTTACCCAAGCTATCCTACAGACACCTCCTCCTACCGCCCCTCCTTCCCCTCCTCCGCCCTCAGGACTACCGCAACCCAGCCTCGAACACATCTAGTAATTATACCCTTTTTTATGCCGTTAATATCGTATCGCAACCCCTCTGGTGCCACCGAGAACACCAACAATAACCCCCGGCTACAACTTCTCAGCATTCTCACCCATTGCTAGCAGTCGCCACCTCTTTTATTCGCCCTCCACCAAACTTCCTTCCTCATTCGCAGACTAAACCCGAACATTGCCCAGAACGCCTCGGTCTCGGGGACTAAGGATTCAATGCGAAGAGAGAAACACTTGGAAATTTCCCCTTGGTCCCGTCGCCTACCTTCCCTACGGTAATCCCCCTAGGGAGAGCCTATTTTCGTACTTTTCCTGCTTTTAAGGCCTTGTTCCCCCTAGATGTATGATAGGATTTTCTTTTTCTTTTTTTTCCCCTCGGGAGCTTGACTAAGGGAAAAATTTAGCCAACAATCCCAACCCCTGTACTCGCAGAAGTGCAGGTGCTCCCAAGATCGAACTACACGGAGAGGAAGAGAAAACAACCTGGACCATGATACCTAGGGAGTAGAGGGGCCCATTTTCACCTCATTACGCTGGGCGTTTGTTTGGATTACGGGACGGTAATTTTATACGAGTCGGTTCCATATGTGAACATAAGCATATTTGCGGGATCTTACGATCCATGAACACCAAAAAATTTGAAAAAACCAAAGTCATTCAATTTAATTTCTTAAGATGTAGAGCAAGAATTTAGTTCGCGGTCCAACAGCAAACGGGCCAGAAGAATCCAGTCCATCGACAGCCCAATACTCCAATACAATACTCCATCTCCCTATCGTACCAGTAGTACGGTACCATCACCACCCCGGCGCAAAAAAAAAGGGAAATCCTCAATAATTACAGAACCCCCAAACACCAACGCGAAGAAACACCGCGGGGAAAAACAACGCAGATCACTGCGCCCGAGCACTTGCATCCGGCGGCGACGAAAACCACCAACAAAGTCCCAGTATAAATATGGCAATAATGACCGCTCACCTTGAAAACACACGACAGAAAGCAAGCGGTAAGCCGCATCCGTCACCGGGTTCCGGTATCATACCTGCAGTGGGTGGAGGGGTAGGACAGTATCCAGTCTGGCACTGAGCCTACCATCCCACAGCTTTAACTTGCTCTACTCGTGCGGACCGGCCGGCCGTATTCTGGTACGATACTCGGCCAGAGCGAGTGAGCGACCACTTAGCGACACCGTACCGTACGAACCCGACAAAAAAACAAACTGAAGCCAAAAGAAAAAACCCCCACCCATTCTTATCGTCGCGCGTATCGGAACGAGAGATGGGCTGGCATCGTCCTCACATGCGGGAAATCCCTACCTACACATTCCCCAAAGATCACTTCATATTCCGTTGTGGTGTAACGGCTAGCATCCGTCGCTTTCATGGCGAACCGACGAGATCGGGGTTCGATTCCCCGCAACGGAGAGGTTGTTCTCAGTTGAGATTATGACAAATTTTTTCCTTCTATTTTTTTTTCCCACCGTTTTTCTTTTTTATCTTTTGTCTTTTCTCGATGAGAAGGATGTCGCCGGATCAAGGATTATTATTGTTATTTTGCGTGAGTCTCAAAACTATTTCTCGCCTACGGTACGGTGGAGGCTGCGGTGTGTATGGGACTGCACGCGCGAGTACAGTACTGTAATCTACAAGTACCGGTACAGTATCAAGACACAAAGGAGCCAAAGTAGACAGAAGAAACGGGGAACAGAACAAAGGAATGTCGGCAAAACTAACATCATGGCAAATCTAAGTCATAGGGAATCAACACGATTATCATCTCTTTCTACAAATTAACTTAGCTTACACAAATTAGCTTACAAGAAAGAAAAAAAATACACAACCCCACCCATCCATAATACCTCCCCTGCTACATACAGCACCGGTACAGCACATAGACCCGGATATCGCAATGCCGGAAAAAAAAAAAGCTCCATCGAGTCTCCATCAATCCCATAAACAAACACCCATCCAAAAGTGTGAACCAGAGGGGGAAATAAGAACAAGTGCAACAAATTTAATAAAACAATTACTCGAACCCCGAAGTATCCCTCTTAATAAAAACTACTCCAGTAACCTTCCCAACCTCAGCAACCCTGATCCAGCCCTTTCCGCCCTCCCTCTCAGCCATGACTCTGACAACTTTCTCCGCATCTTCTGTTGATATGGGATTTCTTGTGCTCTCCCTGATCCCCTCAACGACACTTTTCATCGTCATGTTTGTCCCGCGCCCAGCTAGGCTTTTTAGAATTGGCTCGATCTCTGGGATGCGTTGCTCGGCGGCTGCACGGGCTAGGGATTCTTTCGATGGTGCCTTTTGTCGGGCTGCGGCTGCAGCTTCGGCTTTAGCGCGGATGCGGTTGTATAGTGTTGACGTGCGGGAGGAAAGGGGAGCGGCGGGAGTGGTGGGTTTAGGAGAAGGCACAGAGAGGGGTTTACGGAGTCCTTGGAGGATGGCTTGGTTCTTGCTGCGCAGGACGCTTTGAATGGTGGCAGCTTGGGGATGTGCGGTTATTTCAGCGAGGGGGATTGTGGATTCATGGACGGAATCTTTCTCTTCTCCCGTACTGTCCTCAGTGAATGAGCTAGGCGGAGTGATGAGTTGGGGGTTTGTGTCCTCCCCATGACCGCGGAAGTATAGCCATAATTTTGCTTCGAATTCCTCTTTTAGCAGTTTCGTGCTGACCAGTTTTCGGGCCTTGTTCTTCTCGATGAAGTCGATGCATATATTTCCAGCGCCGTAGTCGACCAACTTGAAGCCACCGTTGTCTACCTTTTCTCCATAATGGGATATATATACTATCCGCCGTAGATCCTCAAAGCTGATATTCCTCCGGGCAAGACGCTCCACGTGGAGTTTTATGGCGGTGAATGGAGCGGGGTGTGTACCATTGCTATGATGGGCCTTGTGCAAAAGTAGAGCCGTTAATAGCGAGCCATGAAGGGTCTGTAACAGGGTCAAGTCTGTCGGGAGACTCTCCAACGGCGGAGAAGAAGTTGGAGGAGACGGCAATTGACGGGCAGCAGTAGTGCGGGTAGTAGTAGGCATCTTGGCAGGCGACGAGAAAAAATCATCAATGGCACGTTTCCGTTTCTTTGCTGGAGTATGTGAAGGTGAAGGTGTAGGGGTAGCTTTAACCACCGACTCCCCCGCTTTAAAAGCAGTAGGCTCGGACTCGATCGCAACAGGTACAAGTACATCTTCGTCCCCGTCCTCAATAATTTTCAAAGATATCCTCCCTGGCTTGATGTCCTCCTTTTTGGCCTCTGTTTTAGATAGAATCCCCTGCTTAATGGCAGCAGCCTTTCCAGTAGAACCAACGCTTTTTGAAACCTTTCCCGTGAAAGAGTGTAATGTTCGAGTACGTGCCTGGGATACGGCAGCGGCTTTGCGCCTGGGAGGCATAGCGATAGTGAGTACTCTAAACACGAGGACTGGTGATAGTAATGCGTATAGTATACAAACTCGTGACTTGTGATGGTATAGGGGGATAAAGGTAGAATAGAGGATGTAAAGAACAATGCTCGGTAAAGGGAGGAGACAGAGAAGGAGGTAATAGTAATAATGGTGGGGAAGGAAAAGAGACACCCCATAAAGGTGTAGGGGGAAAAGGAACACCCGTCGAGGTGTTGTTGACTCCTGTTGCTGGGGTCACCATTGCCTGCCAGAAAGCCTAAGCCAAATCGAGACATTGCGCTAAAGTCCAAAAAGGTTAACGCGCCAGATTGGCGTTTAATCCGTGACTTGGGATGTTCCACGTGACTACCATGGTCAATGATATGCCTAGGCCGTGCCCGTACTGGCGCATCTCCTGGGAGAAACATCATTTCCCCTTCTCTAATAAGCTACCGGTATCGCTCAAGTGCACCCTCCTTTGAAATAAACTATGATATTCCAGAGCCGACATTTTCTGTTTCTTCTTAGTCCCTAGTTTCGGTGGATTCCGGAGGCAACGATAACATTTACACCTCAATCAGATTAGATGTGACCGTTGATAAGATAAAGAAGGGTCAGCCACACACATTCAGTGGCCGCCAACAAGCCGGGGATTTCAAATTTTTTTGTTTCCTCTTTCCCGGGAAGGTGTGAAATGTTCCACCAGCGACAACCTGCATAACGAAGCATCCCATTCCCTCTCCTCCTTCTTCTTCTTCCCTTATTCCCCCTCTCCTTCGGCATTGTGACAGCCGCGCACAAGTTTAGTCCCCCCTCCACCTTCTCATCTCATACCTAACCACTACTACCCACCCCCGGGATACATAACGCAATGTTCACTGTGCGGTGCCTTTCAAGAGGCCTTTCCTTTGCAAGACCTGCTTTCCAGGCCAGGCCTCTTTCGGTAGGAGGACTTTATTTGCTTTTTCCTCCCACAATAGTTAGGGCTATGGAAGATTTTTTTAAGCTGACATTAAATGTGCGCTAGATTCAAGGAAATAGGTTCTACTCCACCAACAAGGTCGCTCTCTTCAAGGGAAATAAGAACCAAAATGTTTGCCTACTCCCTTCCATGTCTCAAAAGTGAAAAGAAGAAGAAAACTGCAGGTGACATCGACGGTTGAGTTATTTTCTGGTTGAAGTGACATGAACCTATCACCTCTCCAAGATAATAACGGCTCTGCTTCGCTCCCTTGGTATCGAGAAGATTCACCATGTTGACTTATGTTAATTGGACTAGGGAAACTATACTGTAACATTCATTGAGGGAGACGGTATCGGACCTGAGATTTCCAAGAGCGTTAAAGATATTTTTGCTGCAGCCAAGGTGCGTACCACACCTCCGACTTTTTTACCACGGCTTTGAGATGCTCTGCCACTGAACTTTTCGACGCATCTCCGTGGGCCTTGTAACGCGGGCGGCTAACCCTTTCTCAGACCCCTATTGAATGGGAATCAGTCGACGTCACTCCGATTCTCAAGGACGGAAAAACCACGATTCCCGATGAAGCAATTAGCTCTGTGAAGAAGAACTTGGTTGCCCTTAAGGGACCTCTCGCTGTAGGATTTCATTCTCATTTCCCTTCAGCGTGCATTAATCAATAGTTTTACAGACTCCTATCGGTAAAGGGCACGTCTCCTTGAACCTTACTCTTCGTCGTACATTCAACCTTTTCGCCAATGTTCGTCCTTGCCGTTCGATTGCTGGCTATAAGACCGCCTATGACGACGTTGACACTATATTGATTCGTGAGAACACTGAGGGGGAGTACTCGGGCATTGAGCATGAGGTTGTTGAGGGCGTGGTCCAGTCCATTAAACTAATCACACGCGAGGCGTCTGAGAGGGTTCTGAGATTCGCATTCCAACATGCAGAGGCAATTGGGCAGAAGGAAGTCCGCGCTGTCCACAAGGCGACAATTATGAAGATGTCTGATGGACTCTTTTTGAGCACTGCAAAAGAGGTCGCGAAGGACTTCCCTCACATCCGGTTCTCGGCTGAACTGCTAGACAATGTCTGCTTAAAGGCATGCACTGTTCTCCGACCTCCTATTAGGTTACACTAACTGTCTCAATAGATGACCACCAACCCCAACCTTTATCGGGATATCCTTCTAGTTATGCCCAACCTCTATGGAGATATTCTTTCCGACATGTGCGCCGGGTTGATCGGTGGTCTCGGACTCACTCCTTCCGGTAATATCGGAGACGAGTGCTCAATTTTCGAAGCCGTGCACGGCTCTGCTCCAGACATTGCTGGCATGGATCTTGCCAACCCTACTGCTCTCTTATTGAGCTCTGTGATGATGCTCCAACACATGGGCTTGAACAGTCATGCTGATAAGATACAGAAGGCGATTTTTGACACGCTGGCCGAGGGCCGGGCATTAACGAAGGATTTGGGTGGTAGCTCCACCAGATCTCAGTTCACCCAGGCGGTAGTCTCACGACTATAAGGGTCTTGTTTGATAATCTAGTTTCTTTTGTAATGGGGGAGGGATGGAAGATAGCAGAAGGGGTCTTGTAGATGTGATGTTTATATCCTTTAACTTTTTAGTCTCGGGAGTACATGGTTTATGATCTTTTTTAGTTTTTCGCTGGGCGAAAATAATCGAGTGATATTACATGATTGCTAGCCTTGGTTCCAACAGTGCACCAAAGAGCGAGGTAAAAAGCGGCAATTGACACCCACATTTTTGAACTAACCCAGTAACCCTTCATTTTTCCCTTTTCCCGGCATATGGCACCCTTCCAACATTACGAAGAGTACTGTAGCTCCAATCCCACAGCTCTAACCAGTTGATCCTTTCTCCGCAGGTCAATGCCGGCCCCCAAGCTGAAAAGCAAATGTTTCAACCTCCCCTCCCACAACAGCCCGATACCGCTAGTCTGTGAAACCCTCGCTTTCAAAACGCCGGCAAAGTCCTCCTTCTCCACATCCTCCCTGCGCCAGACCTCGCAGCCGAGCGAGAGGTCCGACTCGTAGCTGTACATGTTAAAGTCGAAGCGACTACAGAAGGAGGCCGCTTCGCCGGCTTTTATGGCATAGGTTGCTGAAAGCGAGCCCATCAGTGGTGTCAATGTTAGTGTCATAGTCGTCGGTGCGTTAGGGTGCGTTGGGAGGGTGGTGTAGCGAAGGCCTGTGGACACTGTGTGTGCGGGGGGGGTTCGTCAGATAATGGGAGGAGGTTGGAAGGGGGTGGGGGGGTTACTCCCGGCAGACTTGTTAAGTATCCCATAGTAGAATTCTGCGCCCATGCTGAACCTCCCAACAGCTTTCTCATCGGAGGTTCGTGGTGGGGGATTTGGCTGTTTTCTAGGATCCCGGCCAAAGTTGTACAGCCCCCGAGCGCCGATTAAGGCACCATCAGTGCTGTATAAGTACTCCCCGGACCATTTACCGAAGTCGTGTTGCATCATGGCCATTATCTACCGCCCCTCCATATTAAGCAGCCAATACTACGGAAAGAGGGGAGGGGAAGGGAGAGAAAAGACATACAGTCCCTCCAGACTTCAACCTCCCATCACTAACCCCCGTGATCCGAAATTGCGTCGTAGGTTTCATCCTCCTGAGGTATAATGCCTCAAGCGTACTAGCCGGCAAATACATCCTGCCGAATAATAACGTATCTATTCCCCACCGCAATCCCCTCTCTTCAATTAGCCCAGAACCCCCCCCCCCCACTGCTCCTCTGTCCACAACTCATATAATTCAAGGGAATGCACTTAGCCCCCACTTCTTCCATCAACCCTAACACCCCCCTTCCAAACCTCCCAAAACCGTTCATTGTCTGGCGACCGCAACTCTTCGAGCTGTCTGTATCCCATGGTCACGTCGTGCAGGTCTACTTCCTCGCTGCGATGTACGTTATGCAGTGGGAGGCTAGAGTATAAGTACGAGACGCTGCCGTCCACGACGCCGAGGTTGCTGAGCGAGTAACTTGTGCCGAATTTGGGTGTTGAGAGGGAGGAGAGGTCCATCTTTAGACCGCGGGGGGTGGGGAAGTCGAGGAGTGCTTTGGGAGAATGTTCATTAGTGCTAGTGATAAAGTAGTGAGAGATATATATTAATACCTCGAGCTGTTGCGGTGAGATTTACATATGAATTATCGGGATCCCAGGAGGTTGCCCGGTAGAAGGCGTTCTGTAAATAGTCCATGTATGTCAACATCTTTTCTTCTGGCCTTTGGAATTGCCAATGTCAATCAATCGTTACCGATGTTGGGGGTGAGTAAAGGAGAGTTCAAGGTGTGATGCACAAGGTTTGTTTTAATCAACCCCCCACACAGAAGCTAAAAACTCTTGGCAACCCCCACTAACTCCCTCTTTGAGACAAAATATTTTTCAATTTAACTAGATTCCTGTGATTGGAATCTACTATGGAACAGGTAGAACAACCTACTCGAGTATAGAAATTTAGCTCATTAACTTAGCTCATTAACTTAAGTTAAACTAGATCATTAAAAATATTACCTCAAACCCTAGCCCTTAGCTGAAAAGTGGAAAAAAAAGTCACCCAGCTTATCCTCCTCCCCTCCTCTAACATCAACTCAAGACAACACCAAAAGACACCAATTCCACAACCAACCTTTTGAAAAAAAGAAGAGCATATTATCAGGACAAGATGCCCCGCAGCAAACGCTCAAAAGTCGTCTCCCTAACAAAAACAGACAAGCGCCCCGGCAGGGAAAACAACGAACGTCTGTACGGGAAAATCCGTGAGAGCATTGACGAGCACCAGATCGTATTTGTCTTCTCGGTAGACAACATGCGGAACACCCATCTCAAGGAAGTCCGCACGGACTTTAGCGATTCTAGGTAAGCCCTACTCTTCTCTCCACTCCCATTCCCCTCCATATAAATAGGTTGGCTAGGCTAACAAGAATATAGAATATTCTTTGGCAAAACAAAAGTAATGGCCAAGGCTCTTGGCACCTCCGCATCCGACGAATACCGGCTCAACCTGAGCTCGCTAAGCAAGCACCTAACCGGCAATGTCGGGCTGCTGATAACCTCGCGCCCAGCGGAGGAGGTACTCACCTACTTCGAGAGCTTCAGCAAGCAAGACTATGCACGCATGAACGCCGTCTCGCCCATCACGTTCATTGTCCCCGCCGGAGTCGTGTACTCTTCTGGTGGGAGCCTGCAGCAGGAGGAGGACGTACCCATGGCACACTCGCTCGAGACTACCGTCAGGGGGCTCGGCATGCCGACTCGGTTGGTGAATGGCAAGGTCCACCTTGACCAGGAGTTTGTGGTGTGCAAGGAGGGGAAGAAGTTGGATTCCAAGCAGGCTACGCTACTGAAGATTTTTGGGATCCCCACAGCCGAATTTGTGATTCGGCCTAGCGCTTATTGGACGTCGGCTACCATGCAGGTTACGGCTGTTGGTGCTATGGAGGAGTAAGCTGTGCCGGTATGGTGGGTTGGCAGCAGGGAGGTGGCTCGTCGTGCCCTCTTCCCATCGAGGGTGTAGCGGTATATAATTAATAGAGGCAAAAACAGGGACAGGAAAAATAGGGGGTGGGTAACATTTCCTTACGTTCTTTTTTGTTTCTTATTTTGTCTTCCTTCATGATGCGGCGTTCCCCTTGTTATATACATTTGTTGAGTACTACCTGAGTAATTTGTACGGAAGAAAAGTTATCTATTATGCTGCGAGAGCGATCCCCTTCGAGTAGCGGGCAGCATGATCACTAGGCTCTTAGAAGAGGTGGATAGTGGCAAAAATTACGAATCACCAAAGAGTCGAGTGACATCCAATGACCCCAAAACAAGAGCAAGTAGTGAATTTCCATCATATACTTTCCTGCTGATACTAATACACATGTCTCTATCCAACATTATCCCAACTAGCAGAAGAGAGAAAACCAGTAAAATAAAAAAGTGCCGAAACGATATCTATGTTACTCCTCACCCCACCTCCCTGCCTAAAGCCAAGCTATTAAATGGGAAGATTAAAAAAGGAAAAAGTGGAGAAAAGAAACGTGTAAAAGCACACTCTCGGAGTCCGGTTTATTCGAACGAATGTCAATCTACCCTTGCTTCTTCGGCTTCTCGAAACTCCTCGTTTTCCCTCTTTTCCATTCGTTCGCGGACTTCTCCAACGGCCCTTTCGAATCCCTCCATTACCTCATCTTCGACAGGTCTTCTACCACCAGTACCCTTCCTGAAGAAATCAGAGTTTTCCACACCTCTTACTTCGTCACGACTGATACCGCCTCGGCCTCCGGCCTCCAAACGACGTTTACCCTCGTCCCCAGTGAAACTCCTAATGTATTCTCTGATAGGAACCATCGCAGCATCTCTGCATGCTTCAGTAAGATCGCTGCCAGACATACCAGCTGTCTTGCGGACTAATTCGCCCATATCGAAATTCGGAGAGAGTTTAATATCTTTAAGGATCAATAACAAAATGCGTTGGCGTTGAGGCGCAGACGGGAGATTAATGGGAAACTTCTTAGGCATACGACGGAGGATAGCCTCATCGATATCTTGAATACGATTGGTAGCACCGAGAATCAAGATTTGACTAGCATTACCGGTAGCGGAAGAAGAGAGGAGACCATCCCAGTGTGTCATGAATTCAGCTTTAACCATGGTGCTGGCCTCATGGTCCGAGCTGCTTCTACCTGTTCAATCACTCCATCAGTACGTGTTAATTCCCCATTCGATGGGGGAAAAAAAACTTACTTCGTAGAACAGCATCAATCTCATCAATGAAGACAATTGTGGGCTGCAATTTCCTTGCCAGAGTAAAAACTGCTGATACAAGCTTGTTACTATCACCATACCACTTCTCGGTCAAGGTACTAATATGCAAATTAATAAAGCAAGCCCCAGATTCGCGAGCAAGAGCCTTCGCAAGCATAGTCTTTCCACATCCCGGGGGACCATAAAGCAAGACACCCTTGGGAGCGGACAACAAGCTAGACGAGGTAGAGAATAGATCCGGCCTAACAAACCTTGTCAGTGACAACCGAAGCCGAAGGCCGTGCGGTGGGAAGGGGGTGCAACGAACACGGTAAGTGGGTAGATTACGGCCTCCCTCAATTCCTCGATAATATTGTCCAAACCACCGATATCTGCTCACTCCCCCACCGCCAGAAAAATAAGCTTCCGAATCCCCTCCATTAAAGCATGGAACCAACGGGACGGCATACCATTGAAAGTGACGTGAATATCCTCCGGGGCAACAACTTCGGTTAAGATGGTCTGCTCGTAACTGGTGAAAGTGGTTCTCTCCAACCGACCCTTCCCGCCTTGCCGCTGGTGATTATCGTCCAGCCGCCGCAAAACAGCACTGGACTTCTTCTTGATCATATCCCGTTTCTCACGGTCGGGGTCGCGGTAACTGATCAGCCATTTGACGAGGTAATACGCCGAAACTTGCTGTTCTACGTTAGCACCGCATCATTGAGCAGGACAAGGGAGTCCGAGAGGGCAATCAAACCGTGGCGGCAAGAAGGAAGAGGTCTATGAGAAGCTTTGTCTTGCGACCTGTAGTTGCAGCCATTTTCTATAAATATTATTTGTAACTGCCGCAGCGAAGGAGGAGAAGAAAAAATTGCTGAGGGAGGGGGGCAGAGCAGAGGTTTGGCGAAGTGATTTCGTGGCTAACAGAGCAGGTTATTGGGAATTTCTCTACGAGCTACCAGACATGTGTTAGGTCTTGGCGATGCTTTGGCTGACTCAGCCCTTGCGGTGCTAGAAAATGGGATGGAACTTTGAATGGGAAAGAAGATTTCATGCCGAGGCTCCTCGCCCATTCAAATGACTGGATAATATGAAAAATAAAAAAAAACATCGTGACACCGAGAACACGGTATCATACTCATACATTGCTAGGAGCCTAAGGCCTCAGTAGATCTGGCATCTGGAGCCGCTCCAAGATCTAAGATCTAGGATTACCGTACGAGTAGATAAGGATTTGCCGCTCTGGGGATCATCTGGGAGCGGAAGTAAACATGATGGGGTGTTTTCCTAAAAAATGAAGTGCCCGGACTAGAAGAGTGCCCGAGTACAATTCCCTGTGAAATACTATATCATACTCGTGGAAGCATCTCTACCAACCGCACTCCTATATCTCACTTCGCCCCACGGCTTAGAAAAGGGAAGATGTTGTGGAGAAGGAACATTTAAGCAGGATATTTGGGAATAGTTATTTCTTCGATCAGTTGGATTCAGGACTTGCGAAGATAATATGCCTAGCCGGAATGAAGTCTCATTCCAATAACCGTACCGGTACTGTGCTCGTGCAGTATTGTATCATAATAAGATATACTTGGTTCTACACCACAAAACTGCCTAAAAATTGGTTAAATCTCCCCCCTAAACCTGAATAGGGAGGTGCTGAGTCAGTCATTGGTAGGACACCGCATTGGCAATTGAATAAGAGAAAACCTTTTCTATACTTGCGCACTGCAGAAGTTTCCGGAAATGTGGAAAATAACTTGGCACCTTGGCGCGATCAAAAAAAAGAAAAAGAGTAAAAACAACCGGAGTAGGAAACGGGCAAATCAGAAAGAAAAGAGAAAACAAAATCAAAGTATACTATGCTTGAAACTTATTACCTCCATCTTGTAGAATACATTTAGCAACAATAGAGGGCAATTTAGATATCTCATAATTGATATCCTCAACTGTGATTCTGTTCCACTCCTCCTTGAGAATTGTTCTCATATCCGCAGAATTCATGACTTGCTCCTCCCCACGCCGCCGTAGGATCCTAGCCTTCATAATCCGCGAGATATGCTCAATCGGATTAAAATCTGGAGAGTTTGGTAGCCAAGCAATCTTTTTTACCCCCACCTTTTCCCTTTCGGAATTCGTAAAGTTTGAATTGTGTGATGGAGCATTATCCGCCATTAACAATAGGCTCGAGGTTGGATCGGCAGCTAATTTCTCCAAGTAGGCGGGCCACAAATTTGGCCGACAGACACAAGCTACATACCTCCAAGAATCAATCCCCCCCCCATCCCGGATCTTTAATTTTTCAATTTTCAATTTTTTAGACTGCCAGGTCTGCTTCGTTTTTACCTTTTCCCCTGTGTCCTTTGCTGTCTTGTGGGCTTCCTGAGCTGCCTTCAGCTCCGCCTCTCGTAGCTCTCTCTACTCACTACTGCTCCGCCAAGCTGTATTGAGTAAATGTTCCTCCTGCTCACACTGCTGATTGTACTCAAGAACTTTGGATTTTGCTTCTTCTTTTTCTTGCTTTGTTTCAGTCAACCAAATAAAGAAAGGCCCTTTCCAGTCCCATCCAATGGCCCCCCAGCACATCACCGAACAGCCTTTTTTTTTTTTTGGCACCAACACAGTCATTGTGCCACTTTTCTCCTTTCTCTCTCTACACAATACTAACCCCGAACACTGCTCCAACCTCAATTGACATCTCATCCATGAAGATAAGGCCGGCCCACTCCTGCTCTGCTCTCCAGTTCTCCCTGCCTGTGCAGTATATCTATATAGTCAACCAGTAGATAGTTAGTAAAGTTCTAATATATATATAAAATAGTATAATAAATTATGTTGACTTACCAAGCGTTTTGCTTTATTTTCTGCATCCAATATTGGTTTAAATTCCTCCCTGTATGTATGAATGCCTCGCTCAATTAAGGCTCTAAACACAGTAGCATCACTTACATGCCCCAGGCCAGCTTCACGACGTATATCAATCAGCTTCATACGTCGCGTCTTAAAGCCTGTTTTTACTGTCCTCACAAGCTGATCTTTATCTTCTGCTGTGAGGGTAGCTGGCCTACCAGCACGCTTCTTAGGGTCCAGGCAACCTCCTGAGATCAGCTCATATAGGGTAAATGATGCCGCGGTAACAGGTACACTATTGGCAGGAACCGCAAGGGCAGGAATTGCGTCCAGAGGGGTTGAATCAGGGGGGCCGGACTGTGTGACACGATTTTCCAAAGTTGGTGGAACCGCTAATCCGACACTGTCTTCAGCCTGTCTAACAACAGACATACTGCCGGAGGCGAGGGTATTGGTGGTGGCTTCCTGGCGGGCCACTCGTGCATTATCCACCGCATTATGCCAGATATCATTCGCGGTTGAAATTGAAACTCCAGTTTCCTTTTTTATTTGCTTATAGGTTATTGGCTTTGGTAGACTTTGGTAGGCAATGATGACCGCACGCCGCCAAGGTGAAATCTCCTTTCCTAAGATATATTAGTAACACATCTATACAGAGTCTATTCAAACTCACCTCTTTTTACTAGATTCCGTGGCATGGCGGTGTTGTTGTGGTTACACCAATCACAAGAAAAAACCCATAAACGGTGTGTTGACAGGTTGCAACTTGGGTGCCAAGGTGCCAAGTTATTTTCCACATTTCCGGTAACTTCTGCAGTGCACAAGTACCATGCGCTTGGCATACCAACCTTTCGGATACCATTGACTGAGAAATACCATTCAAAAATGTAAAACCTTCAGCTATGATCGTGGTTTCTATCGCAGCTGCGAATAGACCATCAAAACAAAGGAATTCCATCTGTGCACTTAGAGATAAATAGAGTAAGAAAAATAAATAAAATTGAAACATGTCGGTAGAGAAATTCCACACTTTACAAGTATACGAGACTCTAGCTATTCCTATCTTTTTTGTTTATAATGAACTCACCACCTCCACTCCAAGTGAATGATCTTTTTCGCGATTGGTCAGTACTCTGGTCACAGATTGAAGAAAGGGCTGTGAAGGACTGCTTTGCATTTAAGGTGCAAATTAAAGATAGCAAGCGAGCCTATTACATCTGTTGAATATCCGAATGTCAATGGAGAGTCTTCGCAAGTCATAATTAAAATTGAGAAATTCAACTAAAAATCCTCAATGAGCGGCATACCTGTATTGGTAGAGCTACAACAATTCAAGAAGTTCATAATAGCCAATCGTGGCTCTGGCAAAAAGTCCCAGAACAACTTTTCGTTACTCGTGAGATAACTACTCTGTTAGGAATACCAGAACCCGATACCTAGGAAACCACCCTAAGTAGGGTAACCCCACTTGGAATCGGAACCTCTGGTCTCCAACACCCCCCTCCGGCTCCCTTACGGGGCCCGTGCGTCATCATATATATCAATCTCAGTTGCGTCCTGTGACTATATTACCACAGAATTAAAGGTGGTAGAATAACACCATATACGTCGCCGCCATCTGTCCGACCAGATCCTATTCGCAGGATATATGAGAGGGCACCTTCGGCTAGGTCTGAGAAGTGGAACATAGTGATTCCGTCAACAACTCAGAGAGTTACCTGGCTTCAAAGACATGACATCTTTGGTATGGGCCGTAAGTAATGGGACGATTTTGTACAAAGAAATGATATCAAATGTAAAGGATCTCTACTAGAGACCAATACATTTACATACACCAGAAAAGTCTAAAACTCCAAAAGACACTACCAAAGAAGCCAATGAACTTCACGGAGTGTTGCAACTGGGTTTCAGAACACATCGTAGCCATGGGGTGATTCTCAATACTACAATAGTTACTGAAACATACTACCCAGAGAGCAACCAAGGGATGCCGACCAAAGGATTAATTACCAATCTGGTGGAATAGCTTCCTGCGAGTTGATAGGAAGTCATCCAGAGAAAATCTATTTGTTGAGTATGGAGTTACAAAGGATCGGAGTCAGACAACCTACGATGGTTGTAATGACGACCACCTTTGCAGATATAGCCGTGGATAAAACTGATCATTTTATCAATGGCGAAGACAATTAGAGCCAACTCAGTTCGACTTAAGAACTAGGCCATAAGTCCAAAGACTCTACTAATCGGAATATTACTATTGGAGACAGTACGTTTCCTAAGAAGAAATATCGTAATTATCGAAGAGGGTGTGATGGTTTTCAGGGTCCACAGGTGTTCGCACCTTGGAAGAAAACTCGACGTTGTGAATTACGATTAAAGAAGTACATAGCTGTATGATAAATAGATGTAGTCCGTAAACACTCAGACGCGGAATATAAATATCGAAGTGTCTCCCAAGCTTTAGACATCATCAAGCAACGGAGAAGAGACCTTAACAATATAATATTGCTTTTACGATTTTATCCTACTTTACCTATTCTACTTCACTCCTAGTAGTCATAAATGAAACGAGCTAAGTCTGAGCCTTACTAGACAATCTCCGTCTACAAAAGCAAATCTCGATTGGCCTAGACAATCTTGAAGTCTATCAAGTTGTCTCCACCTAACATACTCAGCAAATCATCGATATTCTCCAACTCAACTATGGTATTATGGTAAATACTGAGGAAGCACGATTAGTATGAGCCTCACTGGTCAATAATCGAATTGAGCATCAGTAAGAGAAGTTTCTCGGGATTCCAGCCTATTTAGAATGCTTACGACATCGAAATCCATGAATTCATACATCGCTTCATAAAGTCAGGAGCAAGGATGACCCTAAAGCACAGCATTTTCAACGCGTTTTTATTTGCCCAGCCAAATCCCAGCTCTTTTTCATCCAAATGCGTTCCTTCATTGCCCTACATGGTACTTTTCTTAAAGCAAGATTTGTTCAGACTTTACTTCTCACAGTAGGAATCGATGGTAATAGAATCTAATTCTCACTTGGGGGATGGTAGAGAGTGAA